AAAGAAAAGAGGCTCCCAGCCCACGAGGGGAATAAATTAAAATATCCACCACCAGAATATGGAAACGCCCAAAAAAAGGGGTGGGATAATTCACAGGGGCAAATGTGGGCAGAGCTGGTGGGAAGGGACTGTGGTCACCAGACTGTGGGGTATCTGGTCTCCCTGGTGACCATGTTCCTTCCTGAGAACATAGATCCTTCAGGCCCTGTCAATTTGTGCCCCTGGACACTGGGATCATGCCATCTACTGTGCTTCCTTGTTCTGGCCCATGCTCTTAAATAGTCACCTGCACCTGCTCACATAGAGAACACATGAACACACACTGCTTAGGCCCTAGGAAGTTGGTTCTGGCTGTAGATGAACCAACCAACACCCGCTCTGGAGTGCAGCCTTGTGAGCTCGTTCCTGTGACTGTCCCTGGCCAATGGACCCCTTCTCAGAAATCAGGACAAAGCCAGCCTCTGGACTGTGGTGAGTTCGTTGAGGTAGCATCACTATGTAAGGCCTTGAGGGGCCTTTTCTTCTTCTTTTTATTTTTTTTTTTTGAGATGGAATCTTGCTGCCCAGGCTGGAGTGTAATGGCATGATGGCGTGGTCTCAGCTCACTGCAACCTCTGCCGCCCGAGTTCAAGCAATTCTCCTGCCTCAGCCTCCTGTGTAGCTGGGATTACAGGTACCTGCCACCACTCACGGGTAATTTTTGTATGTTTAGTAGAGACAAGGTTTCACCATGTTGGCCAGGCTGGTCTCAAACTCCTGACCTCATGATGTGCCCACCTCAGCCTCCCAAAGTGCTGGGATTACAGGCATGAGCCATCGTGCCTAGCCGAGGGGCCCTATTTTCAAGGTTCCATTAGCAGTAAGTGGCAAACCCAGGTCAGACATAAATTAAAAAGGAGTTATTGCCAGCACTAGGCTATTCCCTAGAGCGTTGGGGCAGGAGCACAGCAAGGACTTGGAAAGTAATGAGTAAGAACTCTCTCTTGCTGCATAGCAAACCACTACAAACTTAGTAGGTTAGCATAACAACAATCATTTATTTTGCTCACACATCTGCAGTTTGGATGGGGCATGGCAGGGTAGGCTCATTTCTCTCCAAGCCATGCCAACCTGGGACCATGATGGTTCACACAAGCCACTCACACAACTGGCTACTGGGCACGTGTTGCTGTGGGGTGGCTCAGCTGGAGCTGGGCTTTGCTTGCAGCACAGACTGGGCTCCAGGGACACGTACAGCTAGAGAGCAGCACCGGCTGTATCTCCTTTTATAGGTCAACCTTGGCAGCCATGTAACACCATTTAGCCTGAGCTCACACAGTCACAAAGGCCTGCCTGATCAAGGGAAGGACTCAACACCATCTCCTGATGGGGGATGGCAAGGTAAGGTTCCAGATGAGGACATGGGACCAGAAATTTTTTTTTTGTGGCCATTTTCAGAAAATGTAATCCATCACAGTAAGGAATCCATGCAACCACTCTCCATAGCTCGTGTGCGTGTGTGTGTACATGTAAGTGTGCATATGTGAGTGTCCATGTGTGCATGTGTGTGTGCATACATGTCTTACTCCAGCTCTCTCCTCTCTCTGGTCACATGGCCTTGACCTCTGCTTCATCCTCTGTTTGTGCTCATGGCCTCAGTTCTTCCTGCCTTCTCAGAATCCCCCCTCCTTCCTTTGGGAAGAGCTCCTCCACATTACTTATTTTGAGAAACTTCCTCCCCAGGTGTTTTTGGCGGGACTATCCCTCAGGCCACCCATCCCTCCCAGGCAGCAGAGGGGTGGCACATGACTGGAGTTGGGCCAATCCAACTCTTTCCTGAGAATCTGACTTTAGTGGATAATCCCAGGTGCTAGACACTGGTCACAGTTCTGTCAGTCCAACTCAGCCCTTGAGGCATCCACTGTCCAGTTCTTGTTCCCAGACTCCAAGAGCTACCTTACCCGTGCCTTCTGTAGACTCTGCAAGCATCCTGCAGTCTTCCATTAAACACTGATAAATATGCATATTTAGTTCCAATTCCACATAGAGGCTTTGCAGCCGTCTGACCTCTCCCACAATTCCAGATGGCCAATGGCTGAGCTGGGAAGAGGGCTGAGATCCAAACGAGAAATGATCCCTACAACCTCCTCAGACAAATGGCATCACTGCAGCCTGGGCAAATGCTCCAGATGGTGCCTCCTTGATACACTGCTATTTAATGTCTACAGTGTCCACACTCCTATTTTACAGAGGCAATAACTGAGGGACAGAGAAGGCAGAGCTCAGATTTCACAAGACACTGTCTGACCCTGTAAGGTTTGCTCCTTCGGTAAACCTCAGAATCTCCTCAAAAGTCAGGTCCCCAACTGTCCTCCTGGAAAAGCAGCCCAGCTCACTCTGAACTGGCAGTGGCTCAGATGATCCTGCTAAGGCCGAGAGACGGGAAAAAAAGTGTTTTTGGTGTCAGTGCATGAGAGTCACAACTGCTTTGCTGTCACTGTAGATCGACTGGCTCCAAGTCACACAGCCTCTCATGGCAAACAAATGCTGTTAAGATCCTGCACCAGAGAACAACATTGACAATGAGGGAGAAGATCAATCCTGTGTTTACAGACTTAAAGATCCTTAAGTCAAGCCTGTCGTCAGAGTTGCCAAGGACTCTGCTTGTGTGACCAGATGTGCCCGTCCTCCCCGGACGGACTTCACGCTGCACATGGGACCACTGGCTCCTTGGCTGCTTAAACCACTGGGCTCATCTTCAGAAGGTGCCTGTGCAATTTGGTGACAAATCCCACCAATTTGTCAATACACTTCTTCCAAGTTTAAAAGCCAGTCATTGGAGGGATTGTTGGCAGATAAGGAAGCTACTGTAGATGCAAAATGTCAAAGCATGATTCTGCTCTCCTAATGCTTTCTGGATGCTACTTCGTGCTCGGCCCCATATGAAGCACTTAGCGTTGCATTGTTTCCTTCGCTCCTCACGTCAGCCCAAGGAGATGGATTTGACCATTGCCCCTATTCTACAGAGGAGGCAGCTGAGCACCAAAGAGGTAACTCACTTGCCACAGCCACCCTGCTAATGCTTAAGCCACACTAGTCAAGTTGCAAATAACTTTATGTTTATGCCCAATTTTAAATAGTATAAAAGATAAAAGGGATTTCCTGGCTCTTGAAACTAAAAAGTCCAAACTTGAGGGATGATTTGACTACCAACATTGTCATCAAGAGCCTGATTTCTTCCCAGCTTTCCTGTCTGCCTCATCATCAAGGGTCTAGCACTCAGGGCAGCAAGATGGCTGCAGCAGTGCTATCTACACACCATGGGTCCAGAAGGGAAGGGAGAAAAATATCCTTTCCCAGAATCCCTCAGCAAACACCTCCAGGCTCAATGGCCCTAATTGGGCCTCCCACCACCCTCAGCTGTGCTCAACGCATACAGTGCCAGTTGTATGCCCTTTGGAACCAGGGATGTTTCTGACCTCCCCAAACTCCAGGATCATAGGGGGAATAAAAGCCATGGTTGCTTCCAAAGACAGCAGGGAGTGTGTTGAGAACAGATCATCACAACCATGCAGTTGAGGAGCAATGACTTGAACCCAGGCTTGTCTGTTCATTCAGACAGTATTTATTGAGCCCTTGCTATGGGTCAGGCATAACTTTATATGCTGGAGACACAAACCTAAAAGGACCCTAAACTAAAAGGCAGACCCCACAAACCTACAAGGCAAAACAGCTGCCTCTCAAGGCTAAAGTCTTGCATTTTTAAAAGGCCTTGGAGCTTCATTAACGTTCTTCTAACGTCCTAATGTTCTTCTAACCAGCTTTTCTAGGTATGAATTGACCCTGTGACACCAGGATGGTTCTTTGTCAGCCTCCTTGTCTATAAAATCAGAAATAATGGTACCTCCCCCAATAAGTTATGTGAAAGAAATGAAAGGGACTTATTATATATGAAACAAAAGCAGCACAACATCCAAACTACTGAGCGTGCAGTAGATCAACTCTCATTCCCACTTCCATTCCATCCATGCCGATTTAGATCAATCCAAGTATCACTGCCTTGGGGTTCATAAAGTCATTTCAGTTCATAAAGCACCGAAAATGCTCCTTCACCCTCTCTGCTCAGCCTCCAACGTGTCCTTTTAATAATCCAAACTCTCCACCTACTTAACTGAAGTGTGTGCGTGGGGTGGGGGTGAGGGTGCGGGGGGAAAGGGGTGGCCTATACTAAACAGCCCAACTGTTTTCAACGTGTCCTGAAATCTGAGACCAAGATTCTCTTAGGAATGCAAGCAAAGGGAGCCGATGGGACGCCAAGAAAGCACAGGTTAAACTACTTCACTTCATCTAGCCCCAGTTCTCTCCTGGCTTTGCAATTAATTTTTCAGCCTCAGACCAGCAGATGGAGCTGAAAATGTTGTCTAAAGAAATGAGGTTTTTCTTTTAATTTACAAACTACAGTTTCTCAAACCTCCACACTGAATGGTTATATCCTGTTGAGCCTGTTGGTAAAGCTCAGTAAAAATCCAGTCCTCATTCCAGAACAGCTGAAACTTAGCTAGGGACGCGGAAGAACAGAATCCCAACTCCAGACGGGCCCGGGTTTCCCACGACACCTCAGGCCTCAGGGCAGTGGGAAGCCGCCGTCAAGCCGCCGTCAAGCCCCCGCCTCACCCACGTCCTACCCTCGCCCCAGTCTCCTCCCACTTTTAGCTACATTTCCCATCTGACTAAAACTGGCTTCCTCCGTGTCCACCAGGACATCGCCTCTAAGTGGCTTAAGCTCCTAAGGAGCGCGATCGGCTCAGGCACTCCGCCACGCGCATGCCACGGGGCGCGGCCGGCCTTGCCCTCGCTGTGGCCTCAAGCACCGCGGCGCCTCACATGTTGCCGGACGGAAGGCCTCGGCGGGGTCAGGCAGCTGCTGCTGGCCGCATCAAGTAGTGACGTTTCACGAGCCTTTTAACTGAAATCACTCCAATACAAGGGCATGCGGGACCAGGTGAAAGCACTTCACTCACCCCACACAACGTCCCCTCCCTCTCCAGCCAAGCGGCCTCCGCGCAGCGGAAAGAAAAGCGACGCTCTAGGGGCGGGACCTGAGAGGTTTGGCCCAATCAGGGATCCCACCTAACCAGACGGGCCGGGGTCTGTGACCCGGTTGGACCAATAAAAACTCGACGGCGGATTTGCCGGGGTTTCTGGGAAGGTGACACTCCCGGAAGCTACCACCTCTTATAAGCCACACACGGGCGGAGTTAGCCTTCCGGCTCGCAGTCCCACTGGCTAACCTCGCTGCCCGTCACGGGAATGCGGGAGAGGGCGGGGCCGGAGCGCTCGCGTCTGCGCGGAGCCCAGCTAGCAGCGCGCGGGAAGCCGCTGAACTGCGCCGGAAAGTCCCCAGGCTGTGGGGCCCCGGTGACCCAGAGTAAGCCTCCAAGAAGGAAGAGGAGGGAAGAAAGGCAGCTCTTCCCGTGCCCCTACCCGAGGCCTCGGTGGGCCCACCCTGTGACCTCCGCGGCCGGCCCCTCGGTGGAGCTGCGGCCCGCGCGGGGGGCATCCCGACCGTGGGCGCCGCGGCCCGCGCTGACCCTGGACGTCGCCGCGCAGGTAGGTTGCAGTCCCCCCGGCGGTCTGACCCCGGAGACAGCCTCTCGTACATACCCCACGCCCTCGTCCATTGTTGGGAATAAGATACGGCTGTACCTTTGTCCACGTGGTAGAGTTGCCTCTCTACTGTGCAAAACGCGTGGCAGCGAATTCTCTTCAATGAGGAGAGGCGCGTCCCCTCACAGAGCAGCTCTCGGGTCTGAGGAGGGCCGGGCAGGGCGTACTTCTGTCTAGGTTTGAATTAAAGGCGACTCGCAGGAAATAAGACCATGCCACTGTGGCAGCTTCTCCCGTCCAGCTCCGGACACTCGACGGTGCGGGCCGTGGGAGGAGGCGGCGATCTTCACAGCCTCTTACTCCAGTCCTCAAGGTCTGGTTCTTTTTCTGATTTGACGCAGCGGGGCTGACGGCCCCATAGGTAACTGAGAACCAAAAGTGGAGATGGTCCTTCTGTGGAGTGTGGGGGCGTGGCCAATTGTTAGATTGTGTTTGGAAGGACAGCCAGGGGCGGAGAAAAGGGGCATTTCTGAGATGATGGGGGCACTGGTGCCATGGAGGGAAGAGGAGTGAGGTGGAGATCGGGAATTCCAGCCAAAGAGAAATGGGGTCCCTGGGAGAAAATTCCCACTCCGGCAGTCCTGGAGTTGTCCTCATGGAGACTTGCTTACGCGAGTTAAAGGACAGCATCGTCTTGACAAAATTTCAGCCCTCAGTCTAGTCTTGTAAATGATAGACCAGGAATGCTCTTAACCGTCATTACCTTGATCCAGCCCTAGGCTTCCCTTTTCTCATTTGTAAAATTGTTATAGTAATACCTTTTTCATTCATTTGTGGTGACATTTAAATGACGTAATATATGTGAAGCTCTTAGCAAACACAGCGCTTCTTCTTCGTGGGTTCCGCGTGGGGTGGATTCAACCAACCTCAAATCAAAAATACTCTTCAGAAAAAGAAAAATGCCTTTGTACTGAACATGTAGAGGCTTTTTTTTCCTTGTCATTATTTCCTAAACTATACAGTATAACAACTATTTACATCCCTTCTACATTGTATTAGGTGTTATAAGTTACCTACAGGTGATTAAGGTATGTAGGAGGATGCTGCGCATACGTTGTATCAAACAGTACACCGTTCTATCAGGGACTTGAGCATCAGCAGGTGTGGGTATCCTCGGGGGTCCTGAATCCAGTTCCTCACAGATACCGAGGGACCGCTGTACTTAGTTCAGAGTACAGTTGAGGCTTCACTTTGAGGTCTGTGGAGGGCGTGGAAAGACCTAGGTCTGAAATTGGCTCTTAACTGCTCATTTTTAGGACAGCTTCCCATCCAGCCAGCCCTTTACCAGAGGCAGTGCACCACCTTTGCAGCCGTTATAAGAACCTGGCTCTTTCCAGCCCTATGTGGAATGTTTTATCGATTTCATAAGCTAATCATTTTTAAAAAAGGTCTTTTTTTGAAATGAAAAAAAAAATCACTATTTGTTTGTAAGTATAAACTATTTTAGTAATGTCCTCTATTTTAGTAATCCAGTATTTTAGTAATGTCCTCTATTTTAAGTGAAATATTTTAATTATGGAGAAAAGAACATAACAGTTGTACCTGTACCCTGAAAAAAAGTAAATGTCAATTTTTTTTATGCTTTTGTACTTTTTTATTGGGGGGACAATGTGACATTTCAGCTATAGTACACATTCTGTGTCCACACACCCAAGAACTTTGAAATTTAACATGTCTTTCTGTGGAGGCACTGTGGCTCCACAGGACTTATGTGGTGGATATTAGTACCTATGTAAGCTGGGTGTCCTCCCTTCTAATCCCCACTCACCCAAGAGGTTTGCTGCTTCCAGCTTACCATGGGGATTATGGCTGCTATTTTGGTTCTGTCCTCATGTCATTTGTGTTTCTACCCTCTTAAGAAACCTGCCTTCTCTGCCCTCCTGGTTCCTCTTGAGCGAGCTCATGATAGACTTTCCCAGACTCAGCAGCTGACGAGCATTTCGTTGGTTTGGTTGGCCTTTATTGAGCCAGTGACCACTCTTCCCTTCAACATGGTCCACTGTCTTTACCAAGGGGCAGTCATGTCTGTTGCAAGCATTCAGGAAAGAGTGGCCTTCCATAGTCAAATGTACTCTATTTTATAAAGTGTGATTTAAAAAATTAATGGTCCAGTCAGCCCTCCTCATCCTCTGGGAATTGATTCCAGCAGTCCCCCTACCCCTGCAACAGACCAAATCTGCTGATGCTCCAAGTCCTTGATATAAAATGGCATTAAGGCCGGGCACGGTGGCTCATGACTGTAATCCCAGCACTTTGAGAGGCCGAGGCGGGCAGATCACCTGAGGTCAGGAATTTGAGACCAGACTGGCCAACATAGCGAAACCCTATCTTTACTAAAAATACAAAAATTAGCCAGGCGTGGCGGCGGGCACCTGTAGTCCCAGCTACTTGGGAGGCTGAGGCAAGAGAATCCCTTGAACCTGGGAGGTGGGGGATTGCAGTGAGCCGAGATCACGCCACTGCACTCCAGCCTGGGTGACAGAGTGAGACTCAGTCTCAAAAACAAAAACAAAATGGCATAGCACAGTCAGCCCAATATATTTGCAGGTTTCACCCTGAGGTTGCTTGAATCTGTGGATGCAAGACCCTCAGATATGGAGTGCTGACTATAACTAAATGTTTTTAACTAAACACAATGTATACTGTCTCAGTTTGCCACAGTGGTAATCCCATCTTAACAATGAGCAAACTGAGGCTTAGTAAAATTAGACATTTAGGCGTTGGGTACTATTTGAGCCTACAGTCATTGTTCTGTAGTCTGTAACTATTTTGCCAGTAGTAGAAAAGGAGGAATGTTCCATTGTCAGGGCAGAATGAACTTTGGCATTCACATGGGTTCTCTTCAACCTTACTTCCTTGCAGCCCCTGATTCCCCAAGGCAGAGGAAATACCCTGGTGGAGCCCTTCTTCCATAGAACCAGAAATGGCATCTGTGGATTTCAAGACCTACGTGGATCAGGCCTGCAGAGCTGCTGAGGAGTTTGTCAACGTCTACTACACCACCATGGATAAGCGGCGGCGTTTGCTCTCCCGCCTGTACATGGGCACAGCCACCCTGGTCTGGAATGGCAATGCTGTTTCAGGACAAGAATCCTTGAGTGAGTTTTTTGAAATGCTGCCTTCCAGCGAGTTCCAAATCAGTGTGGTAGACTGCCAGCCTGTACATGATGAAGCCACACCGAGCCAGACCACAGTCCTTGTTGTGATCTGTGGATCAGTGAAGTTTGAGGGGAACAAACAACGGGACTTCAACCAGAACTTCATCCTGACCGCCCAGGCCTCACCCAGCAACACAGTGTGGAAGATCGCAAGTGACTGCTTCCGCTTCCAGGATTGGGCCAGCTAGTGGGGGTGGCAGAGGTCTCTGCTTCATTCAGCCCTAGCTCTGTAGAGAAATGCAAACCTCAACTCTCAAGGATGTGAGGAACACAAGTTCATTTCTGTTGTTGCAGAGACACTGCAGACTCCACTGTGCTGAGGTTGAATTCTTTTTTTGTTGCTCAAGTTCTAGGAGTCCCTTTCCTGAATATATACTTGTTTGTGATAGTTTCCTTTTCAAAGTAGTAAACTTTTCTATTTTTCTACTTGCCCAGTAGAGACTCTGATTCTGGAAATTTCTGACAAATAATTTAATAATACACATGTTGCTTCTTTCCCCCCGTCTGATGTGTTTGACCAGGTTTTGAGGGGGAGGGCTAAAGGCAGAAAGCATAATAGGAAGCACCCGCACAGGGGTGAGGATCAGGGCTTAGTACCTACCCCAGGCACCAGTATGCACACAGTTGACCCACCTGGAACTGTGATTCACAACCCCATGCACACTAGAATCCCTTGGGACACTGAAAATTACCTATGCCAAGGCCATACTGCAGACCCAACCATGCTTGAGTCTGTGTGTGTGTGTGGTAGTGGATAGAGGTTTTTTTTTGGTTTTGTTTGTTTGTTTGTTTTTGAGTCAGGGTCTTGCTCTGTCACCCAGATTGGAGTGCAGTGGCATAATCTTGGCTCACTGCAACCTCCATCTCCTGGGTTCAAATAATTCTTGTGCCTCAGCCTCCTGTGTAGCTGGGATTGCAGGCACATGCCACCACACTGGTTAATTGTTTGCGTGAACCTTTGAGGGTAGGGCTGGGCATGGGCAGTTTTTAAAAGCACCCTAGTTGTCTTTTAGGATACATCACCTTAGGATGTAGCAGAATCACCTAACAGATGACTGGGCCCTATCTTAGCACCTTAGCTGAGAATTGATGAGAACAGATGAAACACTAGAGTTAGCTAATAATTGCTTTTAAATGAAGCCACTATATTAAACTCATTCATAAAGAGAAAGTGAATCAGTACTGATTCTGAGAGGAGGAAGCACTGAAACTGTGATGGAGGACATCAGAACTAGAAGCTGCTTTTACTGATCCTAAAGGCCAAACCCAATTGCATTTCTCCAATGTAAAGAATAGAAAACCCTGTAGAAGTTGGACCAATAGATGATGTGCCTGCCATGCTGCAGCTTCCCCAGTTGTCTTTGGTAAGAGTGTGCTAGGTTTGGGATAGGGTAGTCAAGATGTTGGAATGGGAAATTTTGAGGGTAAGAATTCTGATGAGCACAGTGACATGGGTAGCTGTTTCCTCTTGACACCCCTTCCCTTCTCTATGATCTGAAGGCCAGTGTTTTGAGAGACAAGGGACCCATCTTAAATACTTGACTTTCTCATTCACTTTGTAGCTAGGCCTGACATGTGATTAAGTTCTGGCCAATGAAATACAAGGACTGAACTTGTGGGAATTTTCCTTCAACAGACCCTTCTTTCTTCCCCCCTCTATCCTCCTGCCTGGAAAGGTTTTGCTGGCCTGACCACAGGCTCTGGCTCAGTCTTGGCCAAGAGAACAGCGCAGCTATACCCTAGAGGTAGGATAGTGCTAAGCTAAAAGGAGCGTAGGTCCCATGTGGAAACACCAAAATAGCCCCAGCTCACTCAACCTAAGACTTATTTTTAAATGAGAAATAAATCCCATCTTAAGCCATTATCAGTTTGGGGTGTGTGACACTGACACACAGCAGTAATCCTAAGAGAGGAAAAGGATTTGAATGGGGCAGACTGTGTTCACTATTAGGGCCAGAGGATGCGGGTCGGCCCCAACTACTGCCCCTCAGGTCTGGGCCAGACCCCCAGTGGGCAGGGCGGATAGGGTACAGGGCACTGCGTCCACACCCACACTAGCCTGGTTGCTGGCGGCCTCTAAGGGCACAGCGGGAATCTCTGCCCTTGCCATGCCCCCGCCACCCGGGAAGGCAAGACAGGTGTGCCTGGCACCCTTCCTTGCACCTGCCTTGCAGGTGAGGGACAGCGAGGACGTCTAGTAGGTGGGGCGCCGGGGTTGCGCGTGCTTCCGCGTTCTTCCTAGCGCGGTTTAGAATTTGATACATTTCTTTCCAGTCTATTTCTATAGATTTGTTTTCAAACCAGATCAGGCCCTGTGTAAAACAGTGTAGCCGTCTTTACTCATTGTAACATGGTGAGCATTTCCCCAAGCTATTACACATATTTTTAAACGTTGTTTTAATGACCGGCATAATAATCCAGTGCTTGGATATATCAAATTATTGACCATCTCCTTATAGGTGAGATTGTTTCCAAAGTTTCACTAATAAAAGTGCACTGCAGTGAACGCCCTTACATAAAAGTTCACTCCCATGTACTTTCCTCGTGCAGAGTTCTGCAGCATGAAACACTATATTTGTCAGTTTCATGTTTTATCAGTGGTTTATTATTGTTTTTATAGTATTCCATTGTCAGTGAAGTATGCCATTCACACTCTCAAGTGAATTGTCTATTCGTATTATTTTTAAAAAAATAACAAACATAAACTTAGAAAGGAGAGCTTTCTTTCTTTAAAGTGTGATAACCTGCAAGGTGGCCCTTCTGACAGGCTGGGAAGCATAGCCTCTGGCAGAAGCTCAAAAGGCAGGCACCTGGAGGGAAGGGGGCCTAAGACAGGCATTCAAGCTGAAGGGCTTAGCCAAGTACAGGTATGAACAGGCCCCAGGAAGAGCTATGAATATTCATGAAACGAATCCTGACCCATGCTTACTGGACAAACATGCATGTTACAGGTGACCTATGTTTACTTTGGGGTGCACTCTTAGCATTTACATGTATTCATGTATTACACTTAACCCTATATGTTGAAAGGTCTTTTCAGGACACTAATGCACTTGTGTACAGCCTCTGTAAACCGCCAGAATCAGCCCCGTTCGGTTGTTTCCCATCAGGAAAAAGTTACTGCAGTCAGCCTCTGGTCCAATCAAAGTAGTAATAATTTGTGGAAGTGGCATGGCGGGGGATGGTGGGCGTCAGCATGTGGAGGTGGATGAGATGCACAGTGTTTGAATATTGCTTATCTAGAAGCCAGTGCTTGTTTGGCTGCTAGAGAATAAAAACCTTGTGGCAGTTAGGGCATAGTTTCTTCCTGAAGTGTAGAGGTGCGTGACAACCCTTGCCGGGCATGGCCCTTCATTGTTTATCATTTAGTATTGCCACAGAGTCCGTGAGTCTTATGACCTCTATATTAACCTTAATGCTAGGATGGGTGATGCACAGAAATGAGGCCTGTCCAACCTCTTGTTCCATCATGGCCAGGAACTCGGTTTTTAAGGTTTCTCTGGGGTAAAAAAAAACTGTTTTTGAGGTTTATTTTCTCCCTCTTGGCCAAGAAGGAGTCTGTTCAGTCAGCTGGGAGGCTTAGACTTTTATTTTTAGTTTACGATATACTTTGCTACTTTTGTGTTAGGCTGGTGTTTTTTACCTTATTCATTTCCAGAAGTTACTTTGAATAAGCTTGTTGTAATTTCTACCTTGGAACCTGATCTAGTTTATAAATTCCTGTAGCATTTCTAAAGATAATTTGAATATAAAATATGATTATCATATGCTGTTTCTTTCTTTGGTTAGGCATTAAAGCTATTAAGACACTCAACTAAAGCAATCCTTTCAGCATTGAATGCTAGCTAATGTAATCAGAGATGGAGTCTCGTTCTATTGCCCAGGCTGGAGTGGAATGGCATGATCTAAGCTCACTGCAACCTCCATCTCCTGGGTTCAAGTGACTCTACTGCCTCAGCCTCCTGAGCATCTGGGATTACAAGTGCCTGCCACCACTCCCAGCTAATTTTGCTTTGTTTTTTTGAGACAGAGTTTCACTCTGTTGTCCAGGCTGGAGTGCAGTGGCACAATCTCCTCTCACTGCAACCTCTACCTCCCGTGTTGAAGCGATTCTTCTGCCTCAGCCTCCTGAATAGCTGGGATTACAGGCATGTGCCACCTCACCTGGCTAATTTTTGTATTTTCAGTAGAGAAGGGGTTTCACCATGTTGGCCAGGCTGGTCTTGAACTTCTGACCTCAGGTGATCCACCCACTTCGCCCTCCCAAAGTACTAGAATTACAGGTGTGCGCCACCGTACTCGGCCTAATTTTTGTATTTTAGCAGAGACGGGGTTTCACCATGTTGGCCAGGCTGGTCTTTAACTCCTGACCTCAAGTGATCAGCCCACCTCGGCCTCCCAAAGTGCTGGGATTACAGGCGTGAGCCACCGTGCCTGGCCACCTTTTTGTAATGCAAAACAAAATCATAAAACATGATTCTGGGCCTGCTGGAGCCATGAGTGAAAACTGCATCCATTCCAATTTCTTCAAATCATGGAATGCAAATATAAAGAGAGTGGGCCTAAGAAAGATTTCTGTCACTCATTCATTTTTTCAAATATTTATTGAGCACCTACTATGTGTGGGAACTTGGCTCCTGTTCAGGAAATATAATTAAAAGTACAGTCTCCCAACCCTCTTCAGAAAGGTAGTGGAGAAAGAAAACACTTTTTAATTGAATAAGCATTAAACTAGAATGCGATACCCATCACAGGCAATCCACTAAGAGACTGCAAAGACAGAAATCCCACTCTTTTGTGCAGCCAAGCAATCCATTACACACGTTTTCAAGATAAACAATAACTAGTTCTCAAGGGAACTTGGCAGCACTTTTCATCACACACAGTTCATCTAACCTGGTATTTGGGGTGATCCTCTGTGTTAGCCAATTGGCTTTATCTAGAGGAAAAATAAACTTGTATCTTTATGAGATAATTTTGTAAGCTGGAGCAAAGGGCCCACTGAAGTTAGGCTCCTACTCTCCCATTAAAACTGGGAGATAGGGGCATTAGTTCCCTTGATACTTAAAGAGATGGCTCCTAGGTCCTAGAGAAACATATATCTAGGTTAAAAAGCGGACAAAAAGGCCTAGTCTTCAAAAGGATTTATATATTTCAAAGAGTGGAAAAAGTACGTACACTAATTACCAGTTTTCTAAAAGTAAATGTTCAAAGAAAAAGGGAGGGAAATCTCTTATTTTCAACAGGAAGTAATAAACCTCTTATTTTAAATTTGTACTTGTCCTGACAGTCCCCAAACATTACAAACTCAACCTATCGATAAGACAAGGCTGAGTTAACTGCGGGCCACAGGGACAGCATGACCTGGCAAAGCTTTAGCAATGGTTGGGAGCAAAAGGCAGTCAGTTTATGGAGAACTGGAAGTCTGACTTAAGGCAGGTGTTTCAAAGCGGGCTTTAGTTAGTATTGAGCAACAATTGGTGGAAACAGCAAGATTTCGAGGAGTCAGCGAATCTTAGGGCATTAATTGTGCTTTCCCCAGAAGAGTGGATGGGTCTCTGAGGAATTCTGTAGTGAAAAGGGGACTCCTGGAAAAATAAAACCCTGCAATAAAGATCTCAGGGTGCAGTCCCGGCTCCGTCCCCCAGCAGGGGCGGGGGCACCGCGGAAAAAGCACCCCAGAGGAGAGCGCCGCGACCCGCCTGGCGCCTGTTCTCCAGCGACCGTAGAGGCATCTGCGCGCGGCTACGCCCCCAGTAGCCACGGCGAGTGCCAGCTCCAAGCCTGGCTTTACGCGAGGTCCCTCGCGTGGCCACGGTCCCCTGCGGGTGCGCTCGGCCTCGGGAACCTGAGCAGCTCTTAGTAGGAAGCGAACTGCAGGGCACACCCTGACCGCAGGCTGCTGGGACAAGGAAGCTCTGGCGCCTCGCGGCCAGAAGCCAGGAACGGACGCGAAAGTGACCACGCGCCTCGGACGCTCACGTGACCTTTCGCGACTGGCTCCGCCCCGCTGTGGCGTGCCGTAGGGCAGACGTCGGTGTCTCCTGCGCAGGCGCAGGCCTTGGCTCGCGGTGGGTGACGCAATGCGGCTGGTGACGCAATCCGGGCTCGCCAGTCAGTCGCGCGGCCCCGTGTACGTCAGAACAGGTAACTGCCTAAACGGCTCCGCTGCCCGACTTGTGCGCTCAGCCGCTTCCTCAGCCCCGCGAGGGGCGTGGCCGACCGCGGTAGGGGAGGGGCCTTCAGTGACCAATCGGCGGTGCCCGCGCAGGGTGCCACGCCCCGCCCAGCCGGGCCGGCGGTTCCTACCGGCCTGGTCCAGCGGACAGCGGCTGCAGCGGGGGCGCCGGCTGGGAGGTGAGTGCGTGGCCCGCAGGCCTGGCCCCGGCCCCTCGCCGCCCGTGGCCGCCTTCCTGTCGTCCGCGCTCCCCGGCTGCTCTGAGGAACTGCGGGGTCTCGGGGATGCGGGAGCGGGGACAGGGGGCGGCCCAAGGGCCTGATCCACGCGGCCCCGGATGCCCGCGTTGGGAGGCGGCGCGTCAGGACGAGGAGGGGCTTCTCTGTGGCTGCAGTAGTTTGTTCTCCGGATGGTCTTTGGAGTGGCCAAGCGGCGTCCGGGCGCTGGGGAGGACAAGTGGCGCGGGCAGGGTGGGAGGTGCCGTGAGGATGGCGAGGACAGCGGCGGCTTTAAGCCCCCCTGGAAGCCCGGCCCCTGTGGCCGTGGACGGGGCTGCCGGTAGCAGCGTCTCCTGGGAAGGGTTCTGGCCCCGTGAGCCTCGGGGATTCTGGGGCAGCCGACGTTGGTGCAGATGCCGGGCGCACTGGGAGGCGGCCAGAATGCCAATGAGCTTTGGCGGACTCACAGCTGTCACCGGCCGCAGACGGCCCTGTCGCCACCTCCAGTGTCTGCACTCCAGTAGCCAACCAACATAGGAAATCGTGCTCAGACCCACTTTGTTGATTGAGAAATCAGGTCCCCTCGAGGGCCCTGTTAGCAGAGGTCTGGGGAAGTCAGGGCTGGCAGTGTGTATGGGCATCAGGCTGACAGCCCTCTGCAGCCTTGTTTCCCCAGGCTGGGGCTGGGACCACTGAAACCTCGCCCCACTCTTATAGATCCCTTTCTTAGGCTTTGTCAGTGTTCTTACAGTTTACTGTGGTGTCTCCTTCAGGCGACATTGATCAAACCTCATAGGTAGGCCGGGCGTGGTGGCTCACGCCTGTAATCCCAGCGCTTTGGGAGGCCGAGGCGGGGGGATCACGAGGTCAGGAGATCATCGAGACCATCCTGGCTAACCAGGTGAAACCCTGTCTCTACTAAAAATACAAAAAAAATTAGCCGGGCGTGGTGGCGGGCGCCTGTAGTCCCAGCTACTCGGGAGGCTGAGGCAGGAGAATGGCGTGAACCCGGGAGGTGGAGCTTGCAGTGAGCCGAGATCGTGCCACTGCACTCCAGTCTGGGAGACACAGGGAGACTCTGTCTCAAAACAAACAAACAAAAAACCTTATAGGTACTTGTTTACAGTGGAACTCCCAGAGGGCAGTCTTTTGCATGTTTGGGGAACTGGTGGTTGTAGAGAGCGGTATCTTTGATGAGACCAGAGAAGGGGAGAGGGGTGGGACTGGTTTTTCAGGGAAGATGATGACAAGTTTTTTTCTAGACATGTTGAATCTGAGGTGACATCTGTGATCTGTACGAAGGAGGCTAGAAGGAAGGCACCGTGCTTTGGATGGATGGTAACAGGAATTAAAGAGGAAAGTAGATTCAGGAACTGAAGGGCAGGGACGAACTTCGTGGAGAAAACATATTCAGGGAGTTGGGGGCAAAGCAGCACAAATGATGATGGGAGTGAAGGTATCTGGAGGCCTTGGGTGGGGTTGGTGAAATTTGCATACCCACTGCAGTGGAAAGATTTAGGGGCTAACGATAGCCCTTTGCCTCTTTGGCGAGGCTGAGGGGAAGAGGGTGTTGAGTAGTTTGAGTTGAATCCGGAGTCCTGCCAGGGCCTGGCTCAGATCCCAACCAGCCATTGACTTTACCCTGTTAGGTCCTCATCTATGAAATGGGGATCACTGTAGCACCTTGGCCTATGTGTGGGAAACCAGTAACAATTAGCCAGCAAGTTTCAGGCTCATGGAACCCTGGTAACAGCCGGTCAGCCTTCTTCAGAGGAGGAATTGGGTTCAGAGAAGTTGCTTGCTCAAAGGAACACAGCGTGTAAAAGCTGTGAACTTGCATTATTTCAGTAGAGTAACAATAATTCAAATTATGAGGAGTTTAGGATGTTGGGAACTACTTTTCCAAAAGTTTTCCTCATGGAAAGTAGTTATTTAGTTGGTTCTTTTCAAAGGCAGAAATGATTCCCTAAGGTTTTGGATTTGCTCCCAGATGGTGGTGGCTATGTGTTTTAATTATCTGGTGTCCTGATCAAAGAACTAGACGTTATTGTTGCCATGAATTATTTTACAGTTTTGGGGTCTATATTTGTAAGCAAATTAGACAGTGACCTTGGTGAGCAAAATACTGTGTTAATGTATTTCACTAATCACAGCTTCCATCATTTGTTTATCACTGGAGGAAATCTTAGAATACACTATTTTTTTCATGCCAATTTATTACCTTAGGAAAATGCATGAGGAACTTCACTTTAGAAAACTGTGCTAAGAAGTAAAATGTCATTCGAATCTTTACCTGAGTAAAGCTAGGTTGTTAATGAGTCTATATCTTCTCAAGTACTGAAGGAATCCTCATAAATTTTAGTCCTTTTGCTTCAGTGGTTGCTCATGCATAATTCTTGTTTCTTTTTCAAAGCTGTTTTTGGAAGGAAGGAAGATGGAAAGCGGTGCGGTTCTGCTGGAATCCAAATCCTCCCCATTTAACCTACTGCATGAGATGCATGAGCTTCGCCTCCTGGGTCACCTGTGTGATGTGACAGTCAGCGTGGAGTATCAGGGCGTCCGCAAAGACTTCATGGCCCATAAGGCAGTGCTGGCTGCCACCAGCAAGTTTTTTAAGGAAGTGTTCCTTAACGAGAAGAGTGGGGATGGTACTAGGACTAATGTCTACTTAAATGAAGTGCAGGTTGCTGACTTTGCTTCATTTCTTGAGTTTGTCTACACTGCAAAGGTACAGGTGGAAGAAGATCGGGTGCAGCGAATGCTGGAAATGGCTGAAAAGCTGAAATGTTTGGACTTATCAGAAACTTGTTTTCAGTTAAAGAAACAGATGTTAGAGTCGGTACTTTTGGAGTTGCAAAATTTCTCAGAGTCCCAGGAGGTGGAGGTGAGCAGTGGCTCCCAAGTTAGTGCTGCTCCTGCCCCCAGGGCAAGTGTGGCCATGGATGGCCCTCACCCCAGTGGTCTCACGGATTCCTTGGGCTACCCAGGAGAGATAGCCAGCAATGGCATGTCTTCAGATTTGCCACCAAAGAAGTCCAAGGACAAACTAGACAAGAAGAAAGAGGTAGTTAAGCCTCCCTACCCTAAAATCAGGAGAGCTAGTGGAAGGTTGGCTGGGAGGAAGGTCTTTGTGGAGATCCCTAAAAAGAAATATACAAGAAGACTCCGAGAGCAGCAGAAAAGTGCTGAGGGTGACATGGGGGACTACAGGTGTCCCCAGGACCAAAGCCCGGACAGGGTGGGCATAGAGATGGAGCCAATTTCCAAAAATGAGGGTTGCCAGGTGGGTGCTGAGTTGGAGGAAGTGTCGAAGAAAGCAGGGCCGGAGGAGGAAGAGGAGGAGGAGGAGGAGGAGGACGAAGAAGGGGAGAAGAAGAAGAGCAACTTTAAGTGCAGCATTTGCGAGAAGGCATTTCTGTATGAGAAGAGCTTCCTGAAGCACAGCAAGCACCGCCACGGCGTGGCCACCGAGGTGGTGTACCGCTGCGACACCTGCGGCCAGACCTTCGCCAACCGCTGCAACCTGAAGAGCCACCAGCGCCACGTGCACAGCAGCGAGCGCCACTTCCCATGCGAGCTGTGCGGCAAGAAGTTCAAGCGTAAGAAGGACGTGAAGCGGCATGTGCTGCAGGTGCACGAGGGTGGAGGCGAGCGGCACCGCTGCGGCCAGTGCGGAAAGGGCCTGAGCTCCAAGACTGCGCTGCGGCTGCACGAGCGCACACACACAGGAGACAGGCCCTACGGCTGCACTGAGTGCGGCGCCAGGTTCTCGCAGCCGTCCGCGCTCAAGACGCACATGAGGTACGCGTGGAGCCGTCCAGAGGGGTCCCTGCGCACTGGAAGGGCGTGTCAAGCACTGAGGTCGTCCTGGGATTTGGACCCAGTGATGTCTCACTGCTTAATTTCTCCGCTCCAAACCTGGGGGCTTATTTCGAGACAGCGTTGAGTTCTCTGTCAAGGTAGAGGGGCTGCGAATGATGGCTCTGCTCCCTTGTTCTGAGACCCCCGGGGCGCCCCTGCTGGCGTGGACGTCCCCCTGGTGGGACTGCGACAGTGGCCACGGGCTTTCCCCGCTGTGCTGGAGGAAGAGTTGGGCCTCGTTGCCTTTATTTCTCCTTTCCTGACTCTTCATTTAGATCTTGAGTTCTGTGACCCCCCAGGTCCCACAGTCTCAGTAGAGACCTCAGTGAGATGCCATTTAGGGCTTTAGGATTCATCTCTGGTCTTTCGGTTCTCAGGCTTGGAAGGAGTGCCATCTGGGCAGTCTACACTCCAGACTCTGGACAGACAATGCTTTCTGTTTCTTAATATGTTTCTGAACTATAGGTGTGTGGTGATGTTTTTAAATAAGTTTCCTTATAGTTCTTAGTATGTTTATTCTTGAAATCCCAACAAGCCATTGTTTTCTGTTCTATTCTAGTTCTGCCCTCAAACCTAGGTCAGTCTTGGGTTAGTAGCATGGTGTTCATCTTTTACTTTATCTAATAAGTTAAAAAACTTGGTTTAGGAAGTGCTCAGTAAATTATGGTTGATTGCTACTTCATACTAGTTGTAACATTAAAATGCCTATGCATTTTTAAAATGCCACCTTCAGCATTTTGAGAACAGTTCTCCTTTCTCTACCGGTTATGTCATATTAGGAAATGAGAGTAACATTTTTGATCATGTGACACTTAATCAGCAGTAGTTCCTAAGGTGTTTGTGGCTGATTATTCTGTATGAGATAGCTTTACAAATATTAGATGGTGGTCTTTAGTGTTTTAAAAAATCTGCAAAGGCCTGATCTCTACCTGCACATGCCTTATAGCACCAGCAGCAGGGCTTATGAGCAGGTGTAGATGAACATTCCGGTCAGTGACTTAGGGAAAATGTGTGGATCCATTGACCTTGTGTAGAAACTCAGTTTATTTTGGGATGGAGATTATGGGCTCTTGACCTGTCACTACAGTCATTCTCATTAGGTCTCTTGGAATAAATGATTTTTGCAGGATAGAGTGGAAATTGTACTGCAAAGTAAGCTTTGAAATACATCCTAAGTTATCATCTGAATGTTGTACTTTCAGAATTCATACAGGGGAAAAACCTTTTGTCTGTGATGAATGTGGTGCAAGATTCACTCAGAACCACATGCTGATTTATCATAAAAGGTGTCACACAGGTAAATACCCATGCTGTTGTGATTGAATGTCTTTCCTAGATGTAGAAGGAAATGCAATTGATTAACTTTGAAGTTGACATCTGTCAAGGTGGTGCAGGTTAAAGCCATGATATAGCTTTTCCTAGTAAGTGAGCAAAATGAATAAACATACACCCACTGCCTTCGTTGCTAGTGTGCATGTGGCCTTGGCTTTCATACCACCAGGCCATAGGATCTGGCATGCAAGTCTTAGGTATCAAGAGATATAAAATAGTTCTTACTGTTGTTAACTGAAAATTTTTTTTCTAAGACTGTGTCCTAAAGAAATTGTCCAACATATGGGAAGAGCTATATGCTGTTATCCCCACTTCTTGCTATTTTTATTAACTAAGAATGAGAAACAGCACAAGGAAGTGCTCCAGTAAACTCTGGTAAATCTATACCCTGGCTTATGACCCGGCTATTCAGAGTAAGGGCTCTGAATGACATGAAAAAGTCTGTGCTTGGATGTTCAACTTTAAAATGCACAATTAAGCGTACAGTTAACCTCAACTGTATTGAAAACCTGCACATAAAAGACCAGAAGAAAATAAGCTGTTATGATATATTAAGGTAGTAGGATTATCTCATTTCTGTTTTCCAAAGTCTTTATGATTTATTATGTGACAGAGAAAATTTAAGTTGGCTTTATTCTGCTTCAGCACAGTAACCCTGAGGTTCAGAATCTTGTGGAAGATACAGAAGCATACAGCACTGAAGTGTTCCAGTTCTTCCAAGTTTCTTCTTTGCTTGCATTTTTTACTCTTACTTGTAAACATTGGCTTATAAGTCTGAAGTTCAAATGCAGGTGAGACAGAGATGACACGTCTCTGACTCATTAGGCACCACGTCTGTGTGATTAGACATCAGTTCTGCTCATTCTGAAGTCATAATTCATGTCATTAAATGCAAATCTCATTTAATGTCATGAAATTAGCATTTAATGACATGAGTTACGACTACAGAATGAGAAGAATTGGTGTCTAAAGAAAGCTTGGGATTGGGGACAAGGTCAGGTTATAATGAAGGATTAAGTTAGAATTGGTCCTTTGGTAAGAATATTAACATGGTAAGATTTTATTAAAGTCACTATTTTTATTTTGATGTCTGTGAAATCAGGGGCACAGCTAATAATTTGGTAAGTCTGATTTGTGGGATTAAACTACAAAAAGTGAGATGGTATTTAAAACTTTTGTCCTACAATTCAATCAAGTTGATTGGAGTTGCTACTCTAGAATAGTGATATATATCCATTGTCAACTTCCCCTTTATTCTGATAAAGATCCATAGAAGTGTTCCTTTGAAAATAATCCAGCAGTTCCTTCAAACAGAAGTTGTGAAATTATTTTCTTGTTTGGAATAATTTCTAAAATGTGAGCCAGCTGAACAAACAATACCTCTTTGATTCTAGTCAAATGGAATTTTTCTTGCAATTTCCAAGGACATTTTACACCAACTTTCAGTAAGTACCAAGCATCTTACGTGTATATTTTGTGATAGTTTTTACTAGAAAATGTAACATGCTGCCTACAGGCACTTTTGAGGAGTTCACGTGGGTTTAACAGTGTAGGCCTACTGTTCCATGGGTTTTTAATGCCTGTATTGTTTATGACTTTATTTCATTTTTTCATGTAGGTGAAAGACCTTTTATGTGTGAAACATGTGGCAAGAGTTTTGCTTCTAAGGAGTACTTAAAACACCACAATAGAATCCATACTGGATCCAAACCCTTTAAATGTGAAGTATGTTTCAGGACTTTTGCCCAGCGGAATTCACTCTACCAGCATATTAAAGTCCACACAGGTATGGTTGGAATGTCCCAGGGAAGGGAGTTTAGTTTGGCCAAAAAAAAAAAAAAAATCCCAAAACTTGTAGATTTACCAGTAAATTACTTGGAACTAAGCTTCTGAAGAAAACTGGCCACACTTTGTATGTCATAATAACATTTTTTTAGAGATTGTTTCTAACTCAGAGAAACCGAAAAGTGGGAGCACTTACAATGGGAGAAGACTAAGTCCCTTTGCTACATGGAGTTTTTACTGAAAAGGACAGACAGCTTAGTCATGGTGTGAATGTAGCAAGTGGATGTGGATGTGTGGACATAGGGATAATCTGTACATGTTAGTATATGCACATGCACACATGCATATTCAGTTGTTAGGGGACTTGTAATTTTAACTCCATTACTGTGGAAAACAGGTGTCATTCCTGTAGTTATAATACCTGCTGCAGGTGCATGTCTTGACCCCTTTTTGGTGTAGGCCATGAATTCTTGGTATTATAGAGATAGATTTGTAGCCCTTAAGGTGTTCCCAACATAACCTTCCCTATGCTGGATGCTGAGGCTTCCCAGTGGTTTGCAGCAGCATCATTCATTCAAGTGTGTATTCAGAATTAAGCACAGTAGGCCAAAGAGACCCACCAGCAGTCTCCTTTCTCCCTGCCTCAGGAGAGCGTCCCTACTGCTGTGACCAGTGCGGCAAGCAGTTCACCCAGCTCAACGCCCTCCAGCGTCACCGCCGCATCCACACAGGGGAGAGGCCGTTCATGTGCAATGCGTGCGGACGGACATTTACCGACAAGTCCACTCTTCGGCGGCACACCTCAGTAAGCAATGGGTTGGCTTTTTTGAGAAACAAGCTGCTGCCCTTAGATACACGGAACCCTAAAGAGAAATACCTACCACCATTCTCCAAGGTGGTTACGAGACAACAGGTACTTTCTCCTTGGGTTGTCTCTGCAGTGGAACACTCACGGAGTGAATGAAGCCCCAAGGCCCAGGGAAAGCACAATCCACGATGACTACTCTGTAACAGTGAGGGTGGCGGCAGGCGGGTACCTATTAGTGAAAGTTGAAAATTGAAGTTGTAGAGGGACTGTTGTTTTAAAAGATGCACTTGTTCAGAGACACATTCAGTGACTTTTGTTTTGTGTTTAACTTATAGATACACGATAAGAATACTCCATGGAAGTCTTTCCTTGTCATTGTAGATGGCTCACCCAAGAACGATGACGGACACAAGACTGAACAGCCTGACGAAGAGTATGTATCGTCCAAACTTTCGGATAAATTGCTGTCTTTTGCAGAAAATGGCCATTTCCACAACCTGGCTGCAGTCCAAGGCACTGTACCTACCATGCAGGAGAACAGTTCTGCAGACACAGCCTGCAAGTCAGATGACTCCGTGGTGTCCCAGGACACCCTGCTGGCCACCACCATCAGCGAGCTTAGTGAGTTGACCCCACAGACAGACTCAATGCCCACACAGCTTCACTCTTTGAGCAACATGGAATAAGAGCTTCAAGCAGTTCTCATCCTGTTAGTCTGCGTATGTGGTAGCTGAACTCAAGATGATGTGGGGCTAAGATAAACAATTGTTCACCTGCAAAGATGTGGGCAAGAACGGCCTCTGCAGATTTTCCTGAACTTCTGCTAACTTGCACGGCTTTATCACAGCATTTTAAAAGCTTTCCCTCAAAAATCCTGATCTGCATGATCTCAGCTACTTTATTGAAAAACAAGGCAGTGAACATAACCTCACTTAATTCTGGTGTAGGGTGTATGTTAATCGTTCTAATTCTTGATTATCTTGTTTAGACAACTGCTGGTCTTAATTGCAGAGTACAGAGCACTGAACCAGCTCCTGATATTGTCGTTAGCAGTTTTCCTGGCTTCTCACCCTGCCTTGTATTTCCATGTGGGTTTACTTCTCTCATAACTACTTTTAAGGTATTTTTCTTCCAAGCTGAAATAAAACTGGGGCCACATATTTTCAGCCATTTCTTCCCTGTTGAATTGAAGCAAATCTGATTTTCTGTGGGGACCCTCAAATGCAACTGAAGAAATGGATGGTTGCATTCATTCCTCCCCACCCCCCATTTGTAGGCAGTAAACAAGGTATGGCAGATTGAACACCTGCAAAACTGCTAGCGTAATCTCAGCACATATGCAGCTAGGAAGTTTGTCATAAAATCAAACGAGTTTGTCTAAAATCTCATTAGAAATGAGATGAGGCTGTTCAGTTTCAGTCTTTAAAAAATCAGATTAGGTAAAAGCTGTCCTACCAAAGAGTCTAGCAAAACAATATAGTATTTTTTTGCAGAGGCGTGAAAAATTAAGATGCTTTAGAGTACTTGAAAGTTGTGTAGTCATTTTATTTGCAAAATGAGGTGACTGGTAAATTGTAGAACAGGGTTTTAATATTTTTGCCAGGTTTTTATGACTTGATTTCTGTAATTTCCAGAAACCCAGACTTCTCATTTCCACACCTAGAGATGGAAACAGGCAAGTAACTGACATGTCTGTTTCCTTGGGAGCATGTGAGAACATAGCAGAAGGGACCAAAAGTCTCAGCACACTTACCTCCGATTATGCCTTAAAGAGTTGATTGTGAAGAACCAGTAACTTTTGTCTCAAATGCTCCTTTGGCTGTTTCAGGCGGGACTTAATTATTGCTTTAAAAAATTCACAATGAAAAGACAAATTCTGCTGTGTTTGCTAAACGTTGACCTTTGGTTCTAGGGCCTTTATGTGCCATGTGCTTGTGAAATGCTTTGATTCACATGTAACATTTAAACATACTAATTTAAAAAGGGAACCCTGGAGAATTCTTTTGTTCACTAGTTCCTTTTTTCTCTAGATTTTTAATTTATTAAACTTGCTGTGAAAACACTTTGATTTTCTAAGAGGAAGGTACTTTGTCCGTAAGTTCCAGGATGAAGATGTAGCTGCACTATGCCAGAAATTAATGAGGGAAGACTTTCTTCCTAAGTGCTTATGTTTTAACTTATGTTAGTGAAACCACTACAAGGTGTTTCAGGTGCTGATAACATGTTTCACACCTGCCCTTGGACGTCACAATACTAATTTACTTCAAATTTAGTTATGACAATGTCACTGTATCCTCCTTATGTTTACAGAACAAATAAATAATGACTGTCACACATCCAGAGGAGACCGAACCTACCCAGCTGATGTACTGTTTTATGGAATAAAGTCACTTGATCAGAAGGAATTGAAACAATAGATTATTTTATTACCTACTGGAGGGATTTTTGTCTTGAATTTGTTTCTTTAGAAATTCTACAAAAAAAATGGTGTTAATAAATGTCTGCTTTGTAAAAGTAGTTTTGCAATTTTTTAAAGATTTCTGTTATAATTTAGGTTCTGCAGAAATAGGATTCTTAATTGAAACAAATATCATTTGCTTAATTACATGAATAATGAAATGTAAAATCAGGGTCCATAAGCCTTTATTTCATACAGTCCTAGGATTAAGCTGTTTAACTGCTTGGATCCCAGCTGGTCTCTGGCAGTGGGATTTTGGAGAGGAGAAATCCTGACCTCTGCTCATGTGCAGGCCGCAACCAGGCTGGGGTATGTGTAAGTGTGGTTGAGTTCTCTGCCACTTTTTTCAATGTAAAAAGTAGGCATCAAAGATATGACTTCTATATACATTTCTCTGTCTCTGAGAACAGAGAAACCTAACCCTGTAGGAAACTTGTTACAGAGGACCTCCTAGAGCATCTGCCCCATTCCTCCAAGTCCAAGCACAGCCATGCTGAGTGGAAGCGAGGCCACCCTCTGAGTGGATTGGTCCCAAGTGTGTAATGAGGAAAGTGCCCAGGTACTGGCACACTGCCTCTCCCAGAGCCTCAAGAAGGGCCATTTAGGAGCTTACTTCAACCATTTTCTGTGAAATACTGTAGCCCAAACTCCAAAGGGATGTGCAGCCTTTGGTTTTACCAAATTCTTTGTTGTCATTTGGAAAAAAATGGCTGTCTGGTGGAGACATTTAAGGTGATTTTTACAGATAAGTGATTTTGCTGTAGGTGATTATCCAAACAAGTAAATTTGAGTGTATAATTTAATTTTTAACCTGTTAAATAAACCTTGTCACTCCAAGGAGTTCATTTTTGGGAAACAAGATGGGTACTTGTTAATTTAACCAAGCGTCATGATATTCATGTACTTGGGAGTAACAATACTTCATCTGATGTCACTGAGAAAGCCACACAGATCAGAGGATCATCTAGCACAGCAGTCCCCAGCCTTTCTGGCACCAGGGACCAGTTTTGTGGAAGACAATTTTTCCACAGGTGGGGGGACAGAATGGTTTCAGAATGATTCAAGCACATTACATTTATTGTGCACTTTATTATTATTGCATTGTAATATACAATGAAATAATTATACAATGTACCATAACGTACAATCAGTGGGAGCCCTGAGCTTGTTTTCCTGCAACTTGACAGTCCCATCTGGGGGTGATGGGAGACACTGACAGATCATTAGGCATTCGATTCTCACAAAAAGCGTACAACCTAGATCCCGAGCATGCGCAGTTCAATAGGGTTCGCATTCCTATGAGACTCTAATGCCGCTGCTGATCTGACAGGATGCAGAGCTCAGGTGGTAATGTGAGCCACAGGGAATGGCTGCAAATACAGATGAAGCTTCACTGGCTGCAGCTCACCTCTTGCCGTGGGGCCCAGTTTCTAACGGGTTGGGGACCCCGATCTATCACATCATCCTAAATGAGACTTGGAAAATCATCTGTATACCTTTGGCAATCTGTATGTGGACTCTTAACTAAGGCTGACAAAACTAAGCTTTTAAACTACCATGGTGGCATCTTCATTAGGAAACTGATTCTGAGAAGAGCCACTTGATTTAGGCTTTGAATGATCAACAACTCAGAACACCAAGATGGGGACAGCTTGTTCTACCATTTAAAACATTTGCTTTGACTTACTTGAAGTGTTGTGAATATACTTTAGGACCTGAAGTCAAGGCTCTATGATAGGATGGTAGGATAAGCCAGCCTGCATTACCCACCATGGGTCCTCTTCCTCACCAGAACTTCAGGCCCCAGTGGTCAGTGGGACTGACCCTTCCCCAGGGGCATCCCCTCTCCCCTGCAGATACTTGCAAAATTAAGATAAATGCCCACACTGACCAGATAGTTGAGTGGTACTTTCTTGGGGTAGGAGAGTGTCAGGCTTAGGGGTGCCTCACCTCCCAACCAGTCTTCCAGCAACCATGCCTTCCTCAACTTTGCAAGTAACTGTAGACCCTAAAGGATTCAAGATAGGGATGAGAATGTGGGGTCTGCTGGGTTATCATGTACTTCAGTGGACTGCATCAACAGAAGTAACCAGGGTTTTCTTCTAAACCCTCAGTCTGCAAAACCACTACGGTGCCCTGGAATTCCCACCAAATGACCGGAGCCTAGAGAGTATTAACGTCTGTCGCCTTAATCTTAATGGGAACAACTTGAAACCATGGAAGCTACTTTTGACCTACGCCAATTTAGCAAGAAGACTCATCAAAATATTACTGATAATTTCCACTTTACTGTACAGATTAAAATAAAACAAACATACTTTTTCTGCTAAGGTAGATTTATTGTTACACATGGTTAGTTTTCATAATGTAATCCCCTATCCCAGAGCAACTCAGGATTCCATGGAGCAGGAAGCCTGCTCTTGGTCACAGCTCATACCACAGCAGGCAGGTCACGGGGGCATGCTGTGCTGCCAAGTCCTCCAGAGGAAGTCACAAAGGTTTGCATTTGGACACTTAAATGCACAAAATCAGGAGAAACAATAAATGCACGAGGGCTGGTGCATATACTTTGGTTACAGTGACGCCACCACACACGGTCACGACTGTGCAAAAATACTGCTTTCAAATCATTAAATAAAAAAAGGAACTCACACAAGCTATAAAAATGTTGCCACAAAAAGCAAAAGTTTCCTGTAAGAAATATTAATTGACTTTGACTATGAACTAACTCCAGATTTGCTAAAGTACAAGAATTTACCATAAATAAGTATATTTTGTTCATAAGTAACATTCTATACATCTTGACCTAGCTCACAGGCATCTTGAAACAAGTCACTGTCCTACATCCATGGGACATTTAAAGGAAGTAAGTTTGCACACCACTGACTGGGCTTTTTCTCTCATTCTTTTTTTTATCTTCCGGCAGGTATCTTCTAGCCATTACAGTTACTTTGATTCCTTTTATGTGAAATATTAAAAACAAAAATTAATTCTTAACCCCAGAACTGGTCCCAGTGTTTACTGTAATACAAACAAGTGACCCTCTAATTGACACAACAAAATGTTACAAACACTATTGTTAAAAAAAATACCCCTTCCGACAGGGGTCTGTTGGGAGTATCATGATGAAAGCTAAACATAATTGCCCTAAAATAAATCATTTGGTTTTTACTTTAAGTGGTCAGACCAGAAGATTCTTTAAACAAGTAGAAACAAACTACTTAAAACCAGAGGACTCAAGCTGCAGAACCACTCCTCACACCCCATTTTCACAAAAGTGCATTTGGCTGGTTGTAGGATATATTATTAGCTAGGGAAACAAAACCCCACTTTTCCTTCTGATCATTTTTTCATAAGAGAGTCTAAGAGGGAGTGAAAAAGTACCAACTGGGACTCCATTCCAGGTCTTACCTCTAGAGACAGCCAGCTCTCATTTAAGAATCTCAGAACTTGGAAGGAAGGAGGAAATCCACATTAAATTCTAGGGCCCACAGACAGAGCGTCTTCATCGCCACCCCCAGTGGATGCTCTGACATCACAGAGCTTCCTGCACTACCAGCCCACCTCATGCATGTCACCACCATAACTACAGCCTGCAAGTCCTCGTGGCCATCTGACGTGGATCCTCTACAATCCGTCCTCGGCTGGCCCTTCCCACTTCCTTTCCTGCTGCTTTCTCTTTCTTCCTAGACTGACCTACTCATCATTTCTTAAACAACCTGCACTTGACCCTTGGCCTGGAAACACTCACTGTACTTCAGCCCAATAAAATCCTACCAATTCCAGTTGAGAGCCATCAAAAATGAAAACATCATTCCAATACTACTTACTACTACCTGACATAACATAGGAAGTTTCGTTATCTGTCATCAGTGAAGCTCCATGATGTCAGAGTGTCTGCTGGGTTAAGTATAGCAACAAACACATTTCAAATATAAATCATTTAACTATAAAATATGCAGAGGACATTCAGGAGACAAGAGTATGTCTAAATATCAGCATATAAAATAATAGAATCAAGTTCATGAATCAAGATAGCATACATATATTATATAAACCAATTAAACATGACAGAGTTCAAACACATAAGCCAAAATATTCCACCAGCTAAGAGAACAATCAAGTCCCCTGAGAAACAAGTTGGGGTTCTTGCCCACTTGGGCATGCAGTACATTCCTGTACCACATTTACTCCACCTAACCCATCATGTGCAATAAACAGGAAAATTACATACATTCATTCTCAAGTTTGACTTAGATAATCTATCCAGCCCTGACCAAGATTTCTATAGCCATAGCACAGAACACACCACCTCAATGTGGGAAAGTGTATAAACACGAAAATAATGAGCAGGCTGTGCCAATTAAAATACTTTAATGCAAATATAAAGGGATTTCCACTCCCACTAGAAGTGAAAACTATCCCCAGAAAAAGAGAAAAATTCCATTTCTAATAGATCTTGTGGGGGGGGTGTGTGTGTGTCTAAGTACAAATCAAATTCACTTTGACACTCATCCATACATGAAGCAAGTACTTCCAGAAAGCTCCTTTCCTCACAATGTGATGCCTACAGACCCTGGCTATTCTAAATTTTTGCCATGCACATGTTAGCATATGGAACAACACAAAAAGCAAATAAACTAGTCACTAGCACCATCAAAATAATCACAGGATAACAAAAATAGGAGTGATTTCTAATAAAGTTATAAACTCATTCCTAGTAACTGTCCTAAACTAAACACACATTTAAAGAACATATCCAGATACCAAAGCACAGAGAAAATGCAAAGCATCTATGAGAACAACTGGGCTGAGTACTCAAGTCTAACAAAAATGACATAAAAACACATGGCAACATTAAACACAGGCTCCACAAATACCAATGAAATATGAGGAATGAGATTCTGAAGTACTTCTCAGAAAATGCTGGGGGTTCTGATAAGCATGAAACAACCCATCACAAGATGAACAGGAGCCTCCCCTTCATCCATTTCACAGCAACACAGACTTGGGGAGCTTAAACAATACCCAGGCTGTCTGGCTCATATGCAACAAAATTAAGCCATTA